GGCCAGCAGGGAGGGGGCAGTTGGGGGCGACCTGGCCGGCAGTGGGGGGCAGTTAGGGGTGATCAGGCTGGCACACAGAGGCAGTGAGGGGCGATCAGGCCGGCGGGGGCGGGGGGGGGGGAATTAGGGACGACCAGGCAGGCAGGCAGGCAGGTGAGCAATTAGGAGCCATCGGTCCAGGATTGTGAGAGGGATGTCCGACTGCCGGTTCAGGCCCGATTCCGGATTAGAGAGGGTGCAGGCTGCGCTGAGGAGACCCCCCCTCCCGTGCACGAATTTTGTGCACCGGGCCCCTAGTAATATATATCTATATCTATCTATCTATCTATCTATCTATCTATCTATCTATATATATATCTATATATATATCTCCACATCCAGTGTGTTTTGTCTCATACTTAGGAAGGTATTACCTGCACATAGCAGTATCTCCGTGAATGTTTGTGTGAATTCCATTTTCTAAGAAGCATTGTTAAAAACATGTTTCTTATGTTGACCTGATCTGGTTCTCTCATATGGTATCACACTGAGTATATTTCTTTTTACTTATAATCTATTATTTTAATACAGTGTTTAACTTTCCCTCAAGTCTTTTCCATATGAAACTTAGCATAGGACATTAGTTCTCAGTTACTGAAGTGGCAGTCAGAATTAAATTTAATACTGCATTGCAGATATTAGTAAGCAGTTTTTTTATTTTTATAGAACCCATATGTTTTTTATCAATTATTCCCACTCTTTGCTTCTCATCTACTTGTGCTTGTTAAAGATCCATTTTATTTTGACCTATGCATTTTAATCTTGAACAAATCTTGTTTGCATCAGCTCAGCCAGCTGTGTGTTCTCTTCAAACTCGATGTACACACCTCTTGTTTCTTCATCCAGATCTGGGGGAGAAAACGCGCCCCCTCCCCCACATGGCTTGCAGTAGGTAACTCCTGAAATTAATGCTGAGTCATCCTAACTACAGGGTGGTTACAAATACCCCATGTTTTAAGTCTGTCCAGTCTCTCTAATCTATTTTTTACTTATCCTGCGTTTATTTTGGCACTGCTTTATGGCAATACAAAACGTTTTTGCTACAATTTGTTCATTGAGTTCTGCTTTATATTTTATTTGGCTTTGTGTAAGGAACCTCACCCCCTACCCCAAATCAGATTGCTGAAATTTTAAATGAGATGAATGGTTTTAAGTGTTTTGATCGAAATTAAAGGGTCAAATTGTATATGGTGCTATACCTTTCTCAGTTACTGTGTTTTAATACATTTTCTCAGGTTTTAAAAAGTTGCCGAAAGAAGAAAGCAAGAAGAAAGAAAGGCGTTGAGAAGACTCTGTATGGGGAAAGAGACATTGCGTCTAAGAAGCCGCTTCTAAGTCCTATTCCTGAGCTGCCTGAACTCTATGAGATGTCGCCTTCAGTTCCAAGCGTCCGCCGGAAGTTTTCAGGTCTCTTCTCTTCACCTTCTTTGTTGCTATTTCTCTTTATTTTTTCACTTTTTCCCATTCACCATGTAAATTGTAAATAAAGAAAAAAAACAACTTTTCATTTTACCACAGGCATGTTAAGGAAGCAGCAGTGTGCAACTTTTACGTCACCTAGACCCTTTCAGACTTTGATGGAAGCTCTGGATCTTCCCCCCAAAGAAACTTACAAAGTTTTAGGAGAAATACTTTTTTCATCCTGTTTCTTTTTCCTTTTGAAAGCATTTTGTTAAAGTAAAATGAATTCTGTTTGGAGGTATAACCCATCATTAAAAGTGAATGAGGTGATGGCTCGACACTAGATACATTTAATATGAATTAGGGACAACAGTTAAAAAATATACTTCCCTGCATTTCAGTAGAGTTGGCCCTATTAAGCATCTTCTATAAATGCCATTTGTAAATTGAGCTTGATCACCTTGAAAGCTTTGTTTAAAAGCAAAGACGGAGTTGCTAAATATTCTAGTTAGATAAAAATTGAAGTTGCACCTGCTTTATAATGCCGGGGTTTTAAATTAACAAAACTTGCTACACATAATAAGAGTATGTGTTCATTTGGTGTGTTAATTTTGTATAGAATCATTTTTAAAATGCCTACCTTTGTCAGTCATCCAATATTTTTAGCCTGCATTTCTTTTGCAACATACCATATAGGATTTATAACAAATTCAAGGATGAATATGGTACATGCCACTTTAAACTCTTGGCTTCTGCCTCCTTTTTAATTTTGGGAAAGCACAAAAGTTTAAACACAGGACCCATCCAGTCACACCAGGCTCCTCCAGCCCCAGGAAGCTCCTCCAGCCCCGGGCACCTGCAGAGCAGCGCTCTCCTGTCCCAGCCTTTCAGGTGGTTTATCTTGGGACGGGGTGGCCGAATGCTGCTCTCCTTACGATTTAGCTTAGCTGAGCCGACTGCCTTTCCAGGAAAACTGTTCACATTACTCCTTCCCACCTGGTTTATAGCGATCTGTCTGCCTCCATTCCCTGCAAATTGCGGTCCCCTTGAGACTGGAAATGAAGTCTTATCCCCAATTCCAAAGCAGTTGTTTTTCTTTAAAGATGTTTAAATAATAGTATTTTTTTTTCTGTCTTGCATCTTATTAGAGAATTTGGGTTTTTTTTAATACCTGAAGCAATTTTTAAAAATCTATATATAACCAACTATTACAAGGGTTTAAAGCAGTTCCCTTCCTTCTTTTCTTCCTTCCTGTCTTCCTCCTGTCTTCCTTCCCTCCTTCCTTCCTTCCTTCCTCCCTTCCTTCCTTCCTTCCTTCCTTCCTTCCTTCTTTCCTTTCCTCTCCATGTTTTTCTCTCTCTCTCTCTCTCTCTCTCATTCTCTCCCTCTCTGCCTGCCTCCATTCCTCTCGCCTACTTTTTTCTTGAGTATTTAATTTCATGAACAATACATGAATATCCATTTTTGAAGTTGTATAAAGAGCCCAAGGGACATATTAATGGGTGGCACTGAGTGGATCCTGCCCTTTGTTAATCTCTAGCTTTACATGACATGATTTGAAGTACCCCAAACATCCTATGTAATAAAAGACTAATATTCAAATCGACCAAATGGCAGAACGACCAGTTGCTATGATGCGCACTGACCACCGGGGGAAGATGCTCAATGCAGGAGCTGCCCCCTAGTGGTCATTGTGTTCCCAAAGGGGGAGTGCTGCTCAGCCAGAAGCCGGGCTCATGGCTGGCTATCGCAGTGGTGGTGGCGAGAGCCTCTCCCGCCTCTGCGGCAGCGCTAAGGATGTCCAACTGCTGGCTTAGGCCTGCTCCGTGTGGGCTCCTGGACTGCCAAGAGGGCGCAGGCTGGGCTGAGGGACCCCCCGCCTCCCAAGTGCATGAATTTCGTGCAGTGGGCTTCTAGTGCATATATATGCCTTTCAAAGAGAAAATTTTTTGTAGTTTTTTTTTTCCAGCTTGTTATATGTCTGCCAGTTTGATTTTGTTTAGAACATTTTTTATACTCATTTGACTGATGAATTAAAACATTATATGAGATAACAAGAGAGATGGTATTTAATAGTATTGAGTTTTAGAACAAATAAAGCCTGAACTCATTTACGCTTTTTTACAGAGAGGAAGGGAGAGAGATAGAGAGTTAGAAACATCGATGAGAGAGAGACATCGATCAGCTGCCTCCTGCACATCTCCTACTGGGGATGTGCCCGCAACCCAGGTACATGCCCTCGACCGGAATCAAACCTGGGACCTTTCAGTGAATTAAAACATTATATGAGATAACAAGAGAGATGGTATTTAATAGTATTGAGTTTTAGAACAAATAAAGCCTGAACTCATTTACGCTGTGTTACATAACTTAGAACCATAACGAGGTGTTCTCACCCTTGATTTTTTCCCCCTGTGATGTCACACAGTGTGCTGAGAACACAGGACAGGCTCCATACGGCGGGAGTTTCCTGGAGGAGGAATTTTAGTCAGCGATTGAGGCAGAAGAGATTTTTAGAATATTGAAATAAAAATAGCTCTACATGAGAGTACAATTCAGTTTATGTTAATTTTTTAACACAGGGCATAAGACTTGAGTGTCTTCAGGGAGTACCCTTTTAGTGAAGCCAGTAAGTCCCCCAGAATTCCAAGTTTTCTTTCCTCAAAGTGATCCTCAATTTCTTCTGCTAAAAGGTAGATTGTTTAAAAAAATTCTTTTAGCTTTACACGCAAACTATTCAGGGAAAACATTGATAGAAGATTTCAGAGGCAGGACATTGACCATTTTCAGTAATTCATTTTTAGGGAAGTGGGAAATATAGCTAATTGACCTTATAGTGTGGCAAGTACATTAGAATGGAAGCAATTTAAGATACAGTTCTCATTTTCCTGGTCTGAGGTTTTGTGCTTTATTAATTCAAACATTAACTACATGTTTTCATAACCTGTGGCCTGGGGAAGAACTAAAAGAGAAAGGATGATGACAGATAGGACGGGTACAATGTAATATTTTATACATCTTGTGATTTTTTGGAAGTTTAAAACAGACTACAATATGGAACCCATTTGATTGTTAAAGTTTATTTTTATGGTTACTTTTTAATTAGATTCAAACTTATTTACATGCCCATAGATGATTTCAACTCAAATGGTGAACTGGAAGAAAGGAAGCCTCCAGAAAGAAAGAGCCGTCTCCCTCAGCACTCAGACTTGAATCCAGAGTCTAATAAGCACGGTGTGTCTGAATTCTGCAGCTCTCACATAAAAAGTTCCTTGTTGCTTATTAATTCCACTTGTGATCAAGATTCAAGTATACATACTGTAGGAATCTGTACAAGTAAAATTATTCCAAAAGCAGAAATTAGGTGGGAAAGTGAAAATGACCTAAAAACTGGGACGGAGAATGAAAGCAGTCATGTTTCTTGTGCTTCTGTGGCTGAAAAACCCATTGTATCGGATGGTTCACAGCCAGCTTTTCTCATGCAGCCCCAAGAATTTTCTGCTGCTGATCAGAATGTGGAAAACCACTTTCACATGAAAGTTCCAGGTGATATACAGTGTGAACAACAGGATGACTTCTTAAGAGCTACTGAAGGAAAACTGCAGGCCAAGTATTTACTATCTGGCTCACCAAAAGAATGTGGTTATTCAGAGGATGTCTTAACTGACAATAGAAAAGAAAAGAAAAGTCAAAGTCGGGATGTACGAAGAAAGTCAGCAGCAAGTGGCAGTGGTGGGAGCTGTGAACAGAAACGTAGAAGACGACGCTCTGTGTGTTATCCTGATGGTCAAAGTTTACACTTAGAAACTGATGGAAGTCACAAACCTTCCTACAGTGTGGGCAGCTCTGTCGAAATTAGTTTGGAAAATTCTGAACTGTATAAAGATTTATCTGACTCCCTAGAGCAAACCTTTCAGAGAACCAATCGGGAAACAAAAGTCAGACGTAGCACAAGGCTACAGAAAGATTTGGAAAATGAAGGACTTGTATGGATTTCACTTCCACTTCCTTCCACTTGCTGCCCTTCCCAAAGAACCAAAAGGAGAACAATGCATACATTTGACAGCAGAGGACTGGAAATGTCCCCCAGAAGAAAAGCTGTGTCCCGACAACCACCATGTCCACTCTACTCCACATCAGATCAAGAAAACAGTGAGGGCTTAGCAGCGAATTCTTCCACTTTCCCTCAGAGAAGGAGGAAGAGCTTTTGTACATCTGCACTTGGAAACAATGAGAATACTAAGTCAGAATGCTGAACAGGAAGAACCTTCTCAGCCAGAAGGGAGAAAGCTCTCTAAAGGACATCGAGAGCATTAGCCATATCGGAGAACTGCGGAATAACTGACATCTGTGGAACCTTTGGCCAGAGAGAAGGTAACTGTCCGTGCTTAAAAGATTCTTCCTGGCTCCTGGTATCTGTGCGATTTCAGTGTTTTCAAAGTTTCAAATAAAATCACTTGAGTTGAACCTACTTTTAAGTAGAAACAAGTGAATTGCTTTATCATTCAAAAAGAAAACATTCTATTAAATATGTCCTTCTTTCCCCACATGGTAAATGCTTTATTAGTATTTTGCAAAAAAGGATTGTTTATAGAGCCGATAATATGTCTCTTAAGTTTCATTTTACATTAGTACATATTTACCACCTCATTACATCTGGATGAGAAGAGGGCTTTTTTTGCAAAACAAAACCATATTGATATAATTAATGTAACGATGAAAATTGGAGGTTAATACAAGGTGGAAAGGTGTTAAAGTGTTTTTATTTTAAAAATACTGAAAAAAAAACTGGTTAAAAAGTTTAACAATTAGAGTAGATGAATTATAAAACTTGTTTCTTGAGTTAAAGTTAAGAGAAGCTTAAATGACTTGCTTTATCTGTCTCAAATTAAATTTTTAATACTTATATTAAAATCAAATTTCAAACATGGAATTTTGGAAATCTTTTAATGACCCGAATACAAGGTGGGGCAAAAGTAGGTTTACAGTTGTTCATATAGAAAATGATACAATCATTCATAAATATTATTACAAGAATAAACTGTTTTGTGTACTCACAACTGTAAACCTGCTTTTGTCCCACCCTGTATGATAAATCTATCATTATAAAATGAAAATATAATTTATAAATAACGAATGTGAAAGCATTTTGTAACTCAAACAGTATTCTTACATGCTTTTTTGGGTGAGGTGGCTGTAGCAGTTTAGTTGAAGACTCATTTCCCAGATTATTCAAATTAGTCACAGGTAATTTGGGATTTATTTTGTGGTTCTCCTTAAAGAAATTTTTTTAAATCCAAAAAACTTATTCAAAGCGGCAGTAGGTCGCTAATTTCTTTTTTAACAAGGCCTTTTCCAGCCTTGCTATCTTTATTTCACTATGTCAAGTACTGTCACTTGTCTCGGGTTTTCTAGTTATGCCTCAGCCATATGGCAGTATATCTCTATCCTGTATCCTGTCGCCACTTTGGCAATAGCAGTTTGAAAATCTAAAGCCTATATATCTGGAATTTGTGAATGTGCATAAATCATTGTATCATTACACAATTGTCTTTGGAATCCTTTAAATCATTAAACTCTCCCTCTCCAATATAGCAGAAACCTGTTAACAAATAGGGCTCTCTATAAATAACACAACAGGGAAGAAGGCGCCTGCTGAGCGCCCATTTCCCCTCCTCCGAGAGAGACTATTTGTTACCTTCTTGGCACCAATAGGTCTGGAACTCCTGCTGCTAAAGACTAATGTATTTTACATTAACACTCAAAGTGATCCCCAATTTCTTCTGCTAAAGGGTGGATTGTTTAAAAAATTCTTTTATCTTCACACGTAAATTATTTATGGACTTTCCCCCTCTTTTATAGTTTAGTGTGGTTGGCAAATGGATACCACTGAAAACAAACCACAGAAAAAGAAAAACTAACTTCTTAGGAAGCTTTTTGGTTTTGGTAATTAAAAAAGAAAAAAACTTTCAGAAATATAAGATGTTAGAGGGTTTTGTTTTCTGTTAAATATTTGTATTTCTCCTTTGTTTAACATGAGGGTTAAAAAAAAGATTGTTATTTTCTCCCCTTTTAATTGTATGGTGATCTATAATATCAGTTGTCTTTGACTTTTTAAAATTTCACATGCTTTGTTTTATTCCTCAAAAGTGTTCATGAGGATGAGGAAAACATTTTTGTGTGTGATTTTTTTTTCTCTTGAATTTTCAAATACAAAGTTGTTCTCATTTTCTAGCATCTACATTTAAAAATACAAAAACATTTACAAGTTGTGTTGGTTTCAATGTGAATATTTTGTTGCTATTTCTAAAGAACAAATTCATTTTTCCTAAAAAGATCAGCTCTGAAAAATTCAAGAAACTTAGGTACAGTTTTATCCTTTATGTCTCATTTGAATCATAAAACTTGCAAAAAGTTAAAGATTTCTGTATTTGCCATGCTTTCTTTTTTTAATGGTTTTCACTTGTGGTTTAATCAAAAACTTGGCTCCAAAATCATTTTTTTCTGACCTTTTTTACTGCTGTAACCATTGACATTTAGCCTTAGAACAACCTCTTCTCATCTTTTCCCGCTTCTGTAAATTCTTGTTTGTTCCAGAAGATGGCAGCATGACATCTGGAGTTTCTCCTGCACCCCTATCTAGAGCCAGGGCCTCTTGCTGCTGCTGCTGAGGGAACCTCCCTTTAACTCATTTTTACTCATTTTTATTACAAAAGTAACATGTGGCTATTGAAAAAAGTAGATGATTTTACAAGATTAAAAACTGTTTTCCCCCACCCGTGCAGGCGTCCTACAGCTTTCTTAAATGTAAACCCTGTTAGCAGCCCGTACAGCTTCCAGACCTTCCCTGTGTAAACACGACTATGGGCTTGTTTTCTGATGGGATCACTATACGTGCCATTCTGCAACTTGATTTTTTATTCAACAAAATACTAAGTATCCTCAGTCTTAACATGGGGAGCCCTAGTGCTCTTTGGTATTTTAAGCCCTTTTCGTAGAATTATGTAACTTTGGTATTTATAATGTAGTCATTTCCTTCCTAATGCATGCTACTTGTCTTTTTTTGTTGTTGTTATTGAAAATTAAGCCACACTGGGTTTGTGTGAAAATATAAGATAAATTCCCTGAAATTAAAATGGTTATTAAGTTCTCTTTTATAAATCATACCTGACAAAGCCCCTTTATAAAGAATTTGGCATCTTTGCCTTCTTTCTGTCTCTCATATTGTCCTGCCACTTGGCTTCCATTTTCTCCTACTGTTCCCACAGGCACTTAAGTCATAGAATTAAGGGTCAGATTTAGATTTGGCCTAAGAAGAAAAAATGATTAATAATACCTGATTCATGCTTTATATTAAAAGGGCTTTTTCTTTTTTTACACCAGGTTTCTTGAGGAATAATTAACCTACAATAAAGTTCACCCCTTTTGAACTTACAGTTTGAATTTTGGCAAATTCATCAAGTCCTGTAACCACTACCACAGCCAAGTAATAGAACATATTCATCACCCCAAAGGTTCTCTCCTACCTCCTTGCTGTCAGTCCCTTCTCCCTCAACCTGGCCCCTCACAGCCCCTCCCTCACTGATAGCTATCCTTATAGTTTAACCGATTGCGCCACTGGAGCTCCAAGGATCATATAGTATATATGTCCTTTTTAAATCTAGCATAAAGCTTTTGAGATTCATCAATGTCGCATGTTAAAGTAGTTGATTTCTGTTTATTGCTAAGTAGTATTCCATTTTATGGGTGTACCAATTTGTTTATTCACCAATTGATGGCTATTTGGGTTGTTTCTGTTTTGTTTTGTTGTTGTTGTTTTTTGGTTGTTCCAAATAAAGCTCCTATACACAGTCACATAAGGATATTTTTTATAGACATGTGTTTTCATTTATCTTGGGGTAAGTGCTTAGGAGTGGGATTCCTGGGATGTACTATTGGGATATGTTTTAACTGTTTAGCTACGAAACCACCAAGCTTTATGAAGGGCTGCACCATTTTGCATTCTTACCTGCAGCAAAGTTGTCCCAGTAGCTTCACATTTTCACCAGCACCTGGTACTGTCAGTCCCTTTCATTATAGGCATTCTAGTAGGTATGCGGTGCAATAGTATCTCATTGTGGTTTTGATGTATATTTTCCTAATAAACATCTTTTTCTATTTTGTTTGCCATCCTTATATCCTTTTTATTGAAGTGTCAATTCCACTGCTCATGGTTGTTGTTTATTTTTTGTCTCATTGAATTGAAAGAGCTCTGTGTATATTTGGATACAAGGCCTTTATTAGATATATGTCTGCAAATATTTTTTCCCAGTCAGTGGCTAGTCTTTTTATTTTCTTAGCAGTGTCTTTTGAAGAGCAGACATAAATTTTGTTATAATATAATTTATCCATTTTATTCTTTAATGGTTCGTGCTTTTGTGTCTTATCCAAGAAGTCTTTGCATGACTCAAGGGCACTGAGATTTTCTCCTATGTTTTCTTATACAGGTGTTCCGTCTACGTTGAGTTAATTTTTGTATTTTGTGTAAGGCAAGGGCTTTTTTTTTTTTTTTAATGGAAATCATTTGTTGAAAAGATTATGCATTTCTCATTGAATGACAATGGCACCTTTGTTGCAATCAGTTGGCATATGTGTAGGTCTATTTCTGGACTTTTATTCTGTTCCATTGATCTGTGTGTCTCTGTAACCACCATCACACCATCTTGATTCTAAAAAATTTTTACTGTGAATCTGGATCATAATAAATGTTTAAAGTTCTTTAAAAAAACAAACAACAACAACAACAAAAAAACAGCCCTACCTGGTTTGGCTCAGTGGATAGAGTGTTGGCCCGAGGACTGAGGGTTGTGGGTTCGATTCCAGTCAAGGGCACATGTCCGGGTTACGGGCCAGTGCTCTATCCACCGTGCCAACCCGGCTACCGTTAAAGTTCTTTTTGTGAGGGAAGAGGACAGTAGAAGCTTGACCAACCAATTCTATCTGGAGCCTACAATTGTACCAGATCTGTATTGCCATTTAGGGCAAAAAGTCAGTAAATACTATGCTATTAGAAATATGGTAAGGAGATCAACTTCCTTGGAGTACTTACACATTCAACCTCATCTTCTGGTAAACTGGTTTGCTAAAGTTCATAATTTAAAATCACCCCTAGTTACTTTAAGATTAGTTATTGAGAAAGAATTCTCTTTTTAAACTTGTGCAATATTTTATCAGTAAGAGAATGAAGGGAGTTAAAATAAGATTCAAAATTAAGTTTGCTAAAAAAAATTAAGTTATCTAATAAGTCTGATTCATTTCTCAGAAATTAAGGTTTTATTATAGTTTGGTTTGGTATTGAAATTGTCACACACAAAAATGTCAGAAAGTGGCCTTAGCATTTGAGAATTATTTCTTAACATGGGAAAATGTTACCAGGTCTCCCTAGGCAGGCAGATTGTGGATTCATTCATCTGTGTTCCAGGCACAACTTCT